AATTCTGTGACGTCTGCACTCATTGTTTTCTGTGTGGTTTCACTTCGGCCCGCCGGGAGAACCTGGGATCCGTGAGAAGAAGATAGAGCCAGAGATTTTCCAAAGTTTATTATTACCTAAAATCTTCTTCTTCAACATGATGCATATGAATAGAACCAGAGGTTGACTCCTGAGTTCAGCAGGAGTTCCTCACTGATTGGCATGATTCCCCCTGATTTGGTGGTTGTGCATAAAATCCTTCGCTGTCCACCAAAGGTTGTGTCTGCACAGCCTTTAAGCATCATCACACACCCAGCTTGAAAATGACCACCAACAAATACACCAAAGCAGCAGAGATGTTCTCACCCGTCCTCTTCACAGTATCTGTGAGCAAAGGAGATGATGTCGGAGGCCCGGCCGCTGCCGTCACAAACCACAACCGGGACAGGTGGTTCCTCCTTCAAACTCTCCAGCACAATGGAGATGACATTAGGACCCCCCTCTAGGATCAGGCAGACCACCGGGACACCCTGGCCCAAACCTGGCAACACAGCAAAGCACCTGTCAGGATGACCGACGCCAGCCTCCCAAAGCCACGCTCAGACTCAGACAGGAGGAGAAAAGGGACTCTCATGAAACTAAAGACTAAGTAATAGAGGGTCATTGATGAAAACAGGATCTGATTGTAGAAGGTTTGACCAGTAAGTATAAACATTTCATCTGATTTTTGTGCCTTCCAGGAACAGAAGGCTTTACAGCTGCCCATGGCAAACAAAATGTCTTTTTCTATGATATTGTGATTGTATCAGTGTGTTTTATTCTATGATTGGAGAATCAAAGGAAAGGCTTTTTTTACTTTATAACTCTGAGGCAATGTAAACATGACCTTATAACTCCATTTAAAAACTCCTCAGCTTTTTAGTTTTTCTTCCTGTTCTGTGGACATTAGATCATAACACAAAGGAGGTTGAGTAGTTTCACTGATTTCCTGTCATTGGATCGAGAGACTCTAGAACAGTGGTTCTTAACCTGTGTTNCGGACCCGCCTCCACGTCTCTGCTTCCCGCGCCGGCGGAGGAGACCGCCGGACCCGCCTCCACGTCTCCGTTTCCTGCGCCGGAGACGCCGCCCACCGCGGTCCAGGCTCTGCCTCTTGTGCCGTGGGCGGCCCCCGGACTAGTTTTCCCTGTTCGGGACTCTGGCCCTCCTTCCGTCGCCCCTCCGCCCACCCCGTTGGGTTGTTTTTTGTTGGACTGTCTTTCTATGGACTCTTGCCCTCCTTCCGTCGCCCCTCCACCCACCCTGTTGGGTTGTTTTGTGTTTATTTGGACTTTTCTGTTGGGCGTCTAGTAGCCGCCCCTTAAGGAGGGGGTACTGTTATGTTCCGTGTTTCTGTATGTTTATTTTTGAGTTTTCTGTGTTCAGTCCTGTTCCCCGAGTCTGTCTCTGCGTCTTCCCCGTTGATT